GGAAAATTAGTAAATAAACATGGCACTATTGAGGCTACTGAAGCTAGAGACTCTATATAGTTATTCATAGCACCCGCAGCCGCTAGCATAGCGCAAAATCACCAGACTTCTAGGGAATCTATGGAGACTACCATAGTGTACATAAATTACAGAGGCTACGGTGTCTATGGACGCTATATAGCCTCTGTAGCATTTGCCAACTTTCCTGATGTAGCAGAGGAGAGCTGGATCCCCGGGGTCGTAAGGTGGGGTGGGACGGCGAGGTTGAGGAGACTGGGGTAGGCCAGACGTGTGCCTTTTCCAGCCTCTTTGTCGGCTCCCTCGTTTCCTTCAATACCGATGTGGGCTTTGACTTTTATCATCCTGGTGCGAGCCGAGCGGCATCGTAGCCAACCGGCCGTAGCCCTCAGGAGTTCACTATTTGAGATGCCAGTCCATCCATTGGCTTTGAATTTTGGCAAGAGGCGGGTCAGGGCATTCAAGGTGTATTGGGAGTCCGAGTATATCGTTAGCTCCGTATCTAGGGGGGTCCTTTGGGCTACGAGCAGGACAGCCACTATTTCTCCTGCATTATTGGTGTTGTGTTCATCAGGCAGTCTACAGGATATATTTCTCGCATCACTTTCCCTATACCCGACTCCACTTCCCGCTATGGTGTTGTCATTTCCATTGTGGACACAGGATCCGTCTGTGTAAACGACGTTGTGGGCTGGGTTTCTAGGCTCGTGATCTCTTATGATCGGGTGAGTGGAAACTGTTCCTTCATTTGTCAAAACTCGGAAACCATGACGTGTTTCCTTAAGCAGGGCGCTCGGTTGAAACCTTTTTTCCTCCGTACCTGGGTCGGTAGAGACGTCCTCAGCCCATTCACTTAGGGATGTAGGGTTGGCAGTATGTCGGGGATCCCACTCCGGGGGGAGGAGGTTTAGTAGGGCCTGAACATTCGCAATACATTCCACCGGGGTCCTGCAGCCTTTCGCCTTCATATCCTTGCACTGTGGGCATTGGCATCGCCATCTCCCAGTATGGTTTCCGGGAACTTCTCTCTGTATATAATCAACCAGGTCCCCGACCGATCTGATACAGTGTTGTCTTTTTATGCAGTTTGCCCATTTACTGTTCCATTCAAACTTTTCAGTTATGGCGGTGTAATACCAGATGGACCTTGCTCGTTTGACCTCGATGGAGATTTCTGGTGTGTCAATCACCAGGCCTGAGGCGGCGGCCGTTTTATACATTTTCTTTAGGGAGACGGGGAGGGTTGATTTCCCAGACAGTAGTGGTGGCCAGGATTGAGTGAATGGGTCGACTGCTATTTCCTTGTCAACTACTCCATCCTTCTTACTAAGGTTATGGCAGTAGATGTTATCAGCTAACCTTGCCCACCGGCTTCTACCTGAGCCGAGGGCAAGGTAGGTTTGGAGTTTCATGAGCTCGATTGCAGTGTTTCTTGCATTGAGGTCCAGGACCTTCATACCCCCGTATTGGAAGGGCTGGGAGAGGTATCTTGCAGCTATCGGGGCTTTTTTCTTGTCATCCCAGAAGAAAGTGCGGATCTGGGTTTCTAGGGATTTTTCTACCGTCTTTGGCATACCTTGGACCCTAGTGAGGTATTGGGTGCGTGCACCAACCTCCACATTGATTATGTGTCTCCTACCCTCAAGAGTTGGGTGACCTTGGTTCCATCTGTTCAGGTTTGCTTCGATTTTCTCCAGAGTTGGTACGCATATGCTTGCCTGATTTATGTTGTTTCCAACCCAGGCACCTAGTGCCCGCACAGGTTTGCCCTCACCGACAATTTCGACGTCCGGAGGGATATGGTTTTGCGTCGGGTCTAGTTGTCGTGTGACCCGAACGTTTTCACGGTAAGCCAAGTTTCCAATTGGTATGATCGCCGTTTTGTTTATATTGAAAGCCGCACCAGAGGCTGAGCACCACTCATGGAGCAGGAGCTGCAAGTGGTCCCGGTCGTCGTTTTCGCCCAGGTAGACCGTGGTGTCATCAGCGAATAAGGTCGCTATTAATCTTTCCGGGTCCCCTGGGATTTGTACCCGATAAGTGTTGAAGCACGGACGGTTTCCGCCAGGGATTCGATTCATGGTACCTCAACGCCATTGTCACGATACGGGATGCGATAAAGGACTTACAAGGGACATGTAGTAACGTTATGCCATCTAAATGAGCACAGTTTTGAAGGGATTTCGTCGAGGCCGTTAAGAGGACCAACATCGCAGAACTTGAGGCGGACGTTCGGGTGAGGCCGGATACCCACGCTCACGTAACAGTGATGACGTCATTCAACCTGACTCATCTCCTCCGCAAATCTCTTACTCCCGGACTTCTACATGGTTTGCATCAATAGGTCCTGGAGCTTTGGATTGGCAGGCGAGTCACGAGTTGCCTTCTCTCGATAAGCATAATCTCACATCTTATCACACAGCAATTGAATTTAAATACAGATGAATCATGAAATGTTTAGTACTTAGCGCTAAATCTTACCAGATCCGCAAGTCTTCATCGCCTTTTCGAAGTTCATCCGAGGTTATTGGGGTATGAGGATACGACGTATTTCCACCTAGGAATTGATTGATAGGTAAGTCTAGTAGTATTATATGAAGCTCAGAAACTCAGAAGCTTCGGTAGATTCTCTGAAAAAGCATTCCAGCCAAGAATTATAGCGAAATTCCACGCGTACGTCCTTTTTGTGGATATTGAGATATTGAGGCGGTGTAGCAAAGTGGTTACGGCGATTGATTAGAAACCAATTCCTCTTTGAAGGCGTAGGTTCAAATACTGCTATCGTCGGATTGGTTTTTGCTTGAAATATTAATCCTTCTCTTCCCGCCTAGCATCACGGATCGACTTACGAATGAGCCTGCATCAGTAAACTCGGTTTGATGTCCCGGCCGATCCTGAGTAATCCGGGAACACTGTCTATTCATTTGGGGCGTCTCAGACGCCCTGGACAGCGCTGGATCGGCTCGGACACGCGGGAACACTGCACCCAGTTTACTGATGTGAACATTTCCTTTTTTTTGTCTCTATTTATTACAGGTACATCCCCCGTCTTCCCGTCATCGATTCAGTAATGCATTGGATCCAAGACTAGGTTCCAGATGGTGGATTAGTTGATCATAATGGTGCCATCGCTTCCATACTCCATACTGCTCTCAAATGATAGCTCATATTTGGTGAAGTCCAATCTACATATGCTTTTTATTGCGTCTACAAGTAAATTATCTGATAAATCTCTAAGATGTCATAGATAATTCCCGAGTCCCTTAAATATAATTGCTTTAGATGACTTTAGGAGCTTCAGCCGCAGCTTCAGCCGCAAGACATGCAGCGTCGGTGGAGATGCAGTGACAGCACTAGGATGTGAGCATCATTTAAATTCCCTAATTATATGACTTACGGAATAATAGTCTCAACCGCGCCGGGGTCGGTAGCAAGATTGGGGAATGGTAGAGAGCAAGCTTGCTGAATATCCCTCCTGGTCTTGGTGGCAGGGAAACTGCATAATCGTTCAGAGGCACAGTTCGATCATTTTCGTCGGGTTTAAACTCACGTAGCGGGCTTCTTCACAGCGGGCTTTGGAATGGGGACGACTTCAGAGCAATCGATGAAGTTGCGGCTGTCTTGGCCGACAACTGCGAGCTTGGCCATGGCGGCCCGGAAGGCGGCAGACATCTTCTCTTGTTCGTTGATGAACTCTTGCCAAGTGCAGGCACTGTTATTATTGAGAATTAATGCAGAATAGGGAATAATTCTGGATTTCACTCACGTACGTGGATCGCGGGCAAGAGCGAAATCAGATTGAAGACGCATTTGACCGACGTTCAATCCTTTACCAAGGGGAAGAGGTGATTCAACTTCACCACTGTTATTTGCGGATCCGGGGAAACAAATGCCCTTTAGCAAAACTTCGAGAAAAACCTGAGTGTCGAAAGTGAAGGGAGTGGAATCGAAGGGGGAAGCATTGATTGTAGGGTCGACCAGTACAGGCTGTCACTTTCTAGACCCTAATAGGTACATACAAGCGGCTCGATCGTTCGATGTTATAGGGGTCACTTTCACGCAGCTGGGTCGCAGTTGATTTCAGCTTTTAGCGCCTTTCTGAAAAGCACCATTCTTTCTCAAAGCCACCCAAACGCCCAACCAGCCTCTCCAATTCATCCTCTACACCTACACCCTCCACGCGCTTCGACCTCACATAGGCCTATTCCTCATCGACCTAGGCCTCATAGGCCTATGCCCCAACTGACTCGTATTTTCAATCCATCTCCTAAGCCACTATGCCGTAGCCCTACGCAGCTAGGTTTGTCAGCAGCTGTTTCCCTTGTCGTGTCTCGGCGTCTCACTCATCCATAGCCCTACCAGGCCCATATAATCAGACCTGCATACAACATATACAATAGCCCTACGGATCCTATTACTCCTAGCGTTCATCTAGCTCCCCAACCCTCCATCATGTCACAATCCGAGAATAGGGCTACCCATCCTACCGAAGACCTCATCCAGCACTGCCACATCTCTAGAGATCGCCCTACGGTGAGGAATTCTTGGTTAGCAACTACTCGCCCCTTACACTATAGCCCTATAGGGGACATTATGCTGAACAACAGAGAATTAACATACTATCACGCCATCAGTATGCCGATCCCTTCCCCTTATAGACCACATAGGATCTCTTAGCATCTATTACCCAATTCTATCTCGCTACCCAGTTTTGTGTCGATTGGTACCATCTGCTTGACAGGATTTCGGCGGCCCACACGCCCGATGTGTGCACCTCTGGTTGCCGATGCAGCTTCCTACCAATAATGACTTTTGCTATCTTTCCCTTTGCCAGTCCCCCAGCTACTGCCTTGCCGATTAATTTCTTATGCTCGTTGCCTATCTTAGCTATACTGCGTGTCAAGAAACTAATTTCTACTAAGCCTCTCTCTCATTAGTTACACAATAGCATTGTGTAAGTTGTAGTTTTGCCAGAGCTATGGAACTATTTGACTTCTTGTAGGGAAAATGCCAACAACAAATAAATAAATAACTAGGAATTAAAGGGCATTGAACGAAGAATAAAAAACACACACCAGGCGGTTCGAACTTAAAGCCGGCATACACAAGTTGACTAATATACATAATCCGTCAATTACAGCTATTATGCCAATAACGAGATACTGTAATCCTGGTCAACCAGTATTCCGCGCTAACCATTATATTGTTCTCGGCTTTCTTTATATTACCAATGGACTACTTACATAAGCACCGAGCCTGTAACCCGTACCTAGTACATGTAGACCGTCCTCGTTCTTAGACGTATACACGGTGGTCTGTCAACTTGTGTGACCGCTCAGTGAGGCTTAATGACGACAGCCTTTCAGATACTATCGACTATCTATAGGTCGCACGTCTCCAAATCTCCCACACATGTTCTTTATTCCTATCTTCTATCCTCTTATCCACTTCTTACACTCGGTAATGTTGAATTCATCAGCTGTAGTCATATAATACAGGTGAAGTTCAAGTATTCACTGCTAGTGTGGTCAACACTGGCTGTGACTGCGAGGTAACGGATGTGCAAGAAATACAGAACAGAAGGCAATAGTCCCACAAGACATGACTATGATGTCTATTGTCTCAGAAAAAAAGAATTCTGAGACAATAGATGTCATACAGGACATGTGTGGGTGTTTCTTCCTAAACAAGGGTTCTTCTCTGACATCTCCGGCATATGACGCATACATTCATCATGTCATTTTAAGTTTAGATTTCTATGCTTCACTGAACTGCTTCCCATAGAGCTGAATAGCTTGCTGGCACTCGGCCAGTCAGCCATTCCATTGCTTCAACTCCCCAACTCCTGCATCTCTGACCATGCAAATTCATCCTGCCGTTGTAAAACACTCTGGCCTTTTTTTATCCCGGATATTCAGTGACTATCTCTATCATAGCATTTGCAATGACTTAATTACTGTTGCTCTTTGAATGTTTCGGTCCTTTCCTTTGTCTCCTCACCAATGAGCTAGCGAAATATTCATCACGGTCTGGAGAAGGCTGAAGCTGTTCCGATTTTTAGCATTTAATTTCGCATTCTTAAACATATGACCTTTACCGTTCCTAATTAAGTGTTCATTGAGAAGAATGACCATACTTTATGGCTGCCCATAGTCGTCCTCACTGGATAAAGAAGAAATATTCTGTGGTCTGGGAAATGGTGCGCCAATCCCGAAACTTCGTATGTGATTTTGTATTCTAATTGTCGAAGTTTAACCATTCTAACTAAGCTTAGTTTCAAGATAACCATAAATCACAGCTACTCTTGCTTGTCCTCATTGGATAAGGCTGAAATGTTCACCCAGGATCATTAGAATGCCCATCTAACTTCACATTTTGGTATGGAATTATTGATTCATTTTCTACATTTTGTAATGTCTTTAACTAAGCTTACGGGGAGACGCAACACTCAGAGAGGCAACTTTGAGACTTCAGACTTGTGCAACTGGAAATGTTCACAAAAGGGACCTAGACTTTATATATATATCTGCTCAAAAGCTCCAAGCCCTGCAACATCAATATCATGAAGTCTGCAAAGAGGCTGAGACTTTGGGAAATCTAGCTCTGGGACTATTGAGATTTGGCATTTTGATCTTAACAGCTTCCTGTTTGATCCCTCACTTATAGCGCATCTATCGCCAATAGATCAGAGTCAATCTGCAGGAAGTACATCGCAAGCCAAAAAGCCACGCAAACCAAGAAAAACACATAAGGTCACTTCAACCACTGTGTCAACTGTGACTGCCTCCCAGTCCAGTCACCCGAGAAAGGGAACAGCAGCTTCAAATCTGACCCCTAGTCAACCTGTACAGGTAATATTATATTGGATAATGCCTGAGATCTATTTACTAATTAAAATGCTGGGAAGCTCACTTCATCACAAAGTGTCACGGTACCAGCAGCAACCTTCCGGCCCCAGTCCATTCCCCCAGCCTCAGTTCCTCATCGCGAAACTGTATAGTAATTTTTTTTAATGCGTTAGAACCTTCAAGGCTAATTCTGTTGGTTGAAGAATATGCACCCCGGTTTCTCTGAACCCTTGGGGAATGTATACCTCAGACGATATGCCGGACTAAGTCAGTTATACCAAGTCGATCCAAATCCTTTGGCTATACCTTTGCCTTCACAGGAACATCAGGCAAGCATAATTTTTATATGGTTATTCTCACATTTATTCTCACATTACGTAGTTACTTTGTATGACAGATGGCTCAAACCACCACTAGACAACCTGAGAGGCAAACACAATAAGGACAAGAACAGTATAGCTCGAATTCCATTTATCACACACCATACATGCACTATCAGCATATGCAAACGAGTCCGGGATTCACCTCCCCTTCAAATGCAATGACATCGGCAAGGTGGACAGGACAGGAGGTCCTGATGACTGGAACAATTCCTGGACAGAAACAGGGAATTATGGTTATAGGTGGGGTGGGGAGCATAGATAGTTCTAATTTTGATCAACCTGTGTCAGTAAATACATGATAGTGGCTGTATTCCGAGCTCAACATTTTCTGGAGCCTAGTGAACTTTCCAGGCTTTTACAGTTGGGAGAAGGAGAAACCCAGAGAAACTGGAAGTTACCCTTCGTGGCTATGTACCCTTCTACCCCAGCTTCTCCGCATCACTTAGATGTATTTAAAAATAAATTAAACCCTCTAACTAGCCCTATTTACAAGATTCCTATACACATATGGCTTCCCTCGTCCCCTTCCTAGAATAACAATCATTTATTCAGAGCC